GTTTAGGTACTCAAGTTTTGTCCGGAACATTTTCTAGCTATTTTCACCTAAGTGAACTGTATTTTCAGAAAAAATCCTCTCCAGAGGACAGAGGAAAAAAAGCACATTTTGCCAATATTTTTTTCTCCCATTTTTTCCTACAGAGAAAAGATTTGGAAAATCCCATTCCCCTGGAAAAATTACTAGAGTATGGTGTGTGTGTGTATTACCAGAGTAAGGTATGTGAAGTGTAATTCCCTTGATGCCTTTTCCATGCCATCTCTTCTTGGCTTAGTCTATTTCCCTGTAGTAAATCCCACAGATGCTTGAGCAAAGGAGAACTGCTCTAATAGTATTTTAAATCATCAAGTATTTTTCCTTGGGTATTGATGTAGCTGCTGCTGTGCAGAGGCCTTTTGCAGACTAAAATTTTCTAGAAGCTAAGTGTTGTTAGGAAAGCTTACTAATTGAAGTTATTTCCTACATCCCTTCCTAGTCTTCAGTAATTGTGTGTCACGTGTTTATCCCCACTTGTACCTAGCTGGAAGAGAAGGAAATGTTTTGCAACCTTAGTCTCAGAGGATGAGCTGCTGACTTCCAAAGAAAGAAATATTTGGAATGGAAAATGGATGCTATTCTTAACATTTCTATGCCAAACCACTTAAGGAGGCTTACAATATTGTATTTGTTGGAACAAAAAGTAATGCCCATAACCCAAAGGCTGCTCAATGTTACAGTGATGAAATTGATTCTTTATCAGTTTTACATCCATCTAAATGTTGGCTCCTTTCGTGTTGATAATTTTGGATTAATCTGTTGGCAGTGTGCGTGTCAAAATGAAGTTCACACCCATTACTTCTGTGTGGTTGCTTTAACACTTTCATGCACTGTTCAGCCTTCTGCTGCTTGTCTCTGTTTCTTGTTAAGTTTTTATCAAGATGTGCTACAGAGGGCTTAAATGCCTCCGTCAAGGAAACACATCTCTGAATTCATAACTTGACTAGATTTTACCAGAGCTATTTTAGAATGGCTGCCAAGGGAATTCCAGCAACCCAGTTCAGACAATCTCTATGCTTGAAACAAAGAAGTGATGTGTATATTGTGGAGTTATATGGTCATGTGTAAGGCTGTGTGTGCTCTGGTGAAATTCTGGCAGGTGGAAGAGTAGCTGAACAAAATCCTATGGCCATTTCTGCAGAACAACATTACTGATAGAACATTGCTGCTTGGTTTGGCAGCCTGTGATCAGCAAGTCAGGACTACAAAAGCAGATATGGAAAAGACCTCAGTCACCAACTGTAATTGTACTCTTTGAGGCATTTGTACAGTTGTCATCCTGTGATTGCTGTAGCAAGACTGCAATTAGATTTCTTCTTGATACGTTAACTAATAGACATAGACTCCACATTCTTGAAAAATTGTTTATTCTTCCTAAAACAATAAACTCAGTCAGGTCTCAGCTGAATTATATCTTAAAGTTATATAAATTATATATATAGGCCCTTTTTTTTGCAGTGTGATTCAGAATGAAGATAATCTTCCATGTAGATTCTCTTTTTAACAACAAGTGTATTGCAAAATAAATTTACTCTGTGACTAAATGAACATTAAAGGTTAGCTTTGCTGATGGAACGATTGGAAATAGTCTCATAAAAGTTTAAGGGTAGGGAAACAATGCATTGACATAATCATGACTCAAAACACATCTTTTATCTCTTTTTCTGCGTCTGCTGCTATAACAAACACACTTGCCATGCAACCAACTTTTCTCTTTTATGCTTTGGATTTTAGCAGTGATTTTTGTAGCACTGGTGTTGGAACTCCTAGGTCAGACATATAATGAAAGCTTATAGGAAGCTGTATTGCTACTCATGGGCTTCAGGAACTGTTTAAAATCCATCTCTGTTAGTACTCAACTGTGGAACCTAAATAGGAAAATCCTTCTTCTTGTCACTAGTTCTGCTGCCTCTTGCATAGGAACAGCATACAGAGTTATCAGTAATATCTTTGGTAATAAAAGCACCTGAACACTTGACAGTGGAAAGAGGAAGGTGATTTCTGGTGGAGATGACTAGAAGCAGAAATGGCACAAAGTTCCACAGAAAGGTCAAAGCAGGTGTATATAACTTGTGTAACCTTAGGGCAAAGATGGTAATGGTAAAGTGGAATTAAATTTGTTGCAAAATGGTTGGTTACTTCAGGATGTCAAACAATTTATGGTAGATAAATTAATGCATACATACAGATCTTATCTGCACATTATCAGTAAGGTTCTTCTGGATTAAAATGTGTAGTCCAAAAACTTTTGAGGTAGCTGAGCAAGAAATAAACCAGGCTTCCTCAAAGAGTGGTTATTTCTGAAAGACATAAAGAACAGATGGTAGACAGGATCATTACCCTTCTGGCAATAAGGAAACAGAGACAGTATAGTTTAGGACACATTCTAATGCTAGCAAAAGTACAAATACCTAGGAATTTTGGAGATAAGGATCTGTATTTATTTATCTTCAAATCATCACAGCCATGTAAGCTCAAGTGTGAATTCTGCAAGAGTGGTCTCAGTGCTTAAAGACATGTTGATGTCCCTTATTCTCCAGTTAGAGATGTCACAGCAAGCCACATATATGTGAGAAGAAGGGAAAATGGGAGGTTATTCTCTGAGAGCAAAGACTGCAGAAGGAAAATGTCCTGTGTAACTTCATAGCTCAAGAAGAAATCATGTTCCCTGTACAGGCAGGACAAAGCTGGAACAGAGTAAATCAGTCTCTAAAATTTAGAGGTGCTTAACTAAAAATATCTCTCCTACACAGAATATTTTAAAATTATAAAAATCCCAGCATATTGAACTGAGGTATGGTGCAACTGTAGTTGAAGGATTATTACCTTTCCCAGTCCCAAGAAATGAATGAGTCTCATTCCATCAAGATCTAGAAGCTTTGTGGCAAAGAAACCTGAATGGAAAATGTGCAAGTTTCCAACTTACACCTGTCAGCATGCACATCTACTTTAATCCAAAAAGGGGTCAGGTTTGCTGTGTACATGGAGTTGTTGCAGTTTGCAAAGAAGGAATTAAGTAATGGAAACCCTTTTCCTCTGAGGTGATAGTTCTAGCCAGGAAACTACCTAGAAAAACACAGGGAGGAAAAGAAAAGCTCAAAATACAGTCCTTTGGGAATCTCCTAAGTATTTTCAGAAAATACTTCTGAACTAAGAGTTTTGGTGGCATAAAAGACAGAAAATGCCAAATTGAGAGATGGCTCTGAGATACAAGAAGTTCAGTCTGTTAAAGTAACCACTGAGGAAGGATCTCTGTGTTTTTTCTCTGTTTTCTACGAATGGTTGGTTCTCACTGGTTATTACTGGGTTTATTTTTATTTTCCAAGAAGGAAAATAAAGTTATGTTCTTCCAGTGATAGATTCATGAGGGAGAAAAGGGCTACTACTTCATTTCAGTCAGTATTGTTGAGTGATACGCTATGTAAGGGTAAGAGAAGTGCAAATTTGTATTCTCAAATAGAGAAAGGAGAAAATCTGAAACCTTTTGAGATGTATTGAGGGAAAACAGGAAGATGTTCAGATAGAGTCTAGGCTGTAGTTGAGATAAAATTATTAAATTAAAAAACAGCAGCTAAAGAATATGCTTTTATGATAAGGGGATGTTTCTAGTTGACTTAGAGCAGTTAAAAGGGCTAAGTAAAAAATTTCCTTGGTGTTTTGAAAAATATAAAAATTCTATTTGTAATATGATCAATTAAAGTAAAACATACTTTCAATGATCAAGAGGATTACAGATTTCTGGTCACTGAATTGAAAATTTTTTGATGAGGAAATGTAGAGACTAGCCTGGACACTTTAAGAAGTAAAACCCTGTTAGTGCTATGAAGCAGATGTGTTACAAGATGTCTTGAAGGAAGTGTGCTTTACCTCAAGGACCTGTGCTTTTTCTTCTGAAGAGAGTTGCAGAAAGACCTTCTTAAAGGAGCTTTTCAGCATAAAATAATGTGCATGTGGAAATCTTGTATTTCTGAAACAGCATTGTGAACTTGTTCCTGATTCTGTTTTCTGCTTTCTGACTTCTTCTCCCAAGGACTCTCCCATTTTTCTCAGCACAAAGCAAAGCTGATCCTATAGTTGTGTATGATCTGATGTGAGACAGCAGACTGTAAATTCATCATTTGTGTAGAAAGTAAGCCAGAATGAGCAAGAAGGTAAGGGGAGTAAGACAGTAATGTTTTCTTGTTTTCCCTTATTTTTTTACTTTTTCTCTAAAAGCTTAATACTATGTGAGAATCTCTTCCACTTTGATAGACATTCTGTTGCACCATTATAAGGCGTGAAAGAGCACCTCTTTTACTGTAAAATCCTTGAACTTACTGTGTCTCCCAGTCTCAATTATGTGTAGTATGGGCAGTATTTTGGTTTAGACATTCCCAAGAGCTTTAAAATTTAAAGAAATACAATAATTGCCTGCAAAATAATTTTACAACACATGATATGCCATTTTATTCGTGAAGGTTACTTACTGTTAATTACAAAGAGCTTCACAAGCATCACTTAATTTTTACAGAAATCATTCTATTTGGTGATGAAAAATGAAAAATTCTTTGGTTTTGAAGCTTTTATTTTAGGGTCTCACCTTAAAATTTCTTCAAGGGATTTCTTTGTTCAGCCACCCCAAAATTCATTATTTGTTATGGGAGTTGCTGAAGGTTAAACTTGGCGTGAGCATTTGAAGGATTTAAAAGCACAGCATCCTGTAGATGAAATAGGGCAATAAAAATTACATGATTACTGAATCAATATTCTATCGTTTCCTGTATGCTGAATTCCTTCATTTATGAAGGAAAAAAAAAGATTGTCTGTTTACTTCTTATCTTCTGCAAATATTGTACCTGTTTTTTCAGCCCTCCTCTTGCCTCCTCCCTTTGAATCTCCTCCCCTGTGATAGAATCAATTGCCTCAGTGGGGATTATAAAAAGCCCAGTTTGCAGTGGAGCTCCCATTCACCCACCTTAGCCACCATGGGGCTAAGAGCGGCCAGCCTCTTCCTCCTCTGGCTGGCTCTTGCCTCTGCTAATGAAATCAAAAAAGGTAAGCTCTAGAGATGAAATGGTAGCAGGCTGCCTCCTGGAAAAGGAGGAGAGAATTAAAGTATTGCTGCAGAGCTAGAATGAGGGAGTTCATTTAAATAATGCTCTAGAGTTTTAGGATGCCTTAAATTGCTTAAGCTTTCAGATACTGAGGCTGCATTGCTTGGACAAAAATTGGTAGATACGACTTTCTTTGGAGAGATTAGTGCCTATATCTACTGCAATGATGTCTAGTTTGAGGTGCTTGGAAAATATTTTCAATGTTGCTTTTCTTTCCATGCATTGAGTCTTTACTAGGTATGGCAATGACTTGACAGAAAGGAACTGTAGGACTTTGAGGGTTCGTTGTTAAAGCAGTGAAGGAAGTGGATGATGGTATCTTCTGTTACTTTGGAGCAACATAAATTGTTCTTCAAAAATGAATGTCATAACATTGGAAAAAAGCTAATTTTGTCATTTAGGACATTTTCAACCCTTTTGCAAAGGCTCCGACTTAGTGTATTTGCTATCAAATTTGAAATGATGGAATGGAGCACTCGTACTGAAAACTGTTTTTAGAGGAATAGGTGTTGGATTATATCCAGTGATCAGATTTGGGCTATTGAGCTTGGTCTGCTGTGTCTTGAGTTCAGCAGTGGGAGGAAAGCTTTACCTGGCACTTGGTCTTCCAGCTGTGAGCTGTGGGAGGATCTCTGTGCAGCCTTCCTTGGGGGAGGGAAGCATTCCAGCTTGGCTGGATGTATCTGGTATGGTTGATACCATCCAAGTGCAGTAACCTAGAGGTTTTCTTAGCAGTTTTGCTTTCTCATGTTAAATGCTGCAAGAAAATCTTGTGAAGATGAGAGATATGTCAAGATTCCCAAGGATGCTCAGCTTTTGTGATTTGCCCCTAATCTACAGTATCTGGAGATTTATCAGATATTGTATTAGTTTTTATTATTTGTTCGTATAAACAGCAGGAAAAGGAGCAAATAATCTTCATATTTTGCTATTGCAAAAACTTATTTTTTCCCTCCTACCATGGCTGTTTTCTAACCTACCTTCTGAAAAATTTGTGTCTTGAAGTAATAGAAATCACTACTGCTTTTAGGAAAAGAAAGAATTCCTTGAAATCTCCTGTTGTGCACAAGCCCTTTCATAACCTTTAAATTATTTGCCTTCCAGAGTAGGTAGTACTTTCTTGGTTTCCTACTTGTTTTGTTTCTAGTACATGTCACACCAGGGAAGAAGATAGTTCTTGGAAAAGTTTAATATTGATAAAAATAATACTGTGTTTCAGAATAAAATCATATGCTTGGCACAGAAGCCAAGTTAGTGGTCAGTATTAAGTTTCCCCACCTCATGCAGATAAGTTCCTTCACCTCAGTGAGGATTATAGGATATACCCTTGTCTCAGAATTATTTCTTAATATCTTATTCTCCTTTAGAGATTTTCATATTTTCTGCTGACCTGGCAGATACTTGATCAGGCTTGAAATCTATGGAATCACTGTGCACATACTTGCAAGTGGTTCCTACTGTAAAATGGAACACTTAACTTTTTTCACACTAGATTGTTTCTTGCACTTCTTTTCATCTCTATTTCTTTTTCATCACTTACCAGGAAGGACAAGAAGCCATGGCCACTATGTCTGCAGCACTTGGGGAAACAACCACTTCAAAACTTTTGATGGAGACATCTACCAATTCCCTGGCGTTTGCGAGTATAATTTTGTTTCTGACTGCCGAGACGCTTACAAGGAATTCTCTGTCCACATCCAGCGTGCTCTCAACAGCGATGGCCATCCTGAGATCCAGTATATCCTGATGAAAATCAAGGATATAGCCATCTACCTCAAACCAAACCTGGTTGTGGTGGATGGGCGGATGTAAGTTCCTTTACTCTAATGGTATTCAGAGAAATGTGCTGGCAAGATAAAAGCAGGATTGATTCTTTACACAACTGTCTGTGTACCACTACAGAAGCTGCTGCAAAGCATTTCCACAGACTAACAAACAAACAAAAAAGCCTTTTGAAATTCAGCTTTAAAACTGTTTTGGGGAGGGGCTTTAGTATTAATTGTAATTTCTACACTGGCAATTTAAATAAGAGATTATTTAAATACAAGTCAGGAATAGGTTTGAGTGAATTGTTCTTCCAGTTGTGCAGAAAACAGTGCAGCTCATGAGCCAGATTTTTCACTGGTGTAATATGACATAGCTTCATTTGTTTAATGGCATCATCTTGACTTTACCTTAGCAGATGGTCTAGAAAATCCTTGAAAAGGAAATGCATTTCTCTGGCGTCTTTTCCTCTTATTTTCTGACAGAAGAGAGGTAGTTTCTTCTGATCTTCATAAATAATTCTTTAAAGATCTGATGGCCATTCCTCAAGGGAGCTTAGTAGATGTAACACAGGTCAAAATTTTCACAAATTTATCTGTTGCAATATGTACTTTTTCAGACTAAGCTGTGTTATTTTTCTCCTCCTATAACATGATTACACAAGAAACTCGTCTGACACCATTACTAATGCTAAGTAGTGTCTCAACCTAGTCTTTTCTATCATTAGCTTATCCTTGCAGTATGTGCATTTATATTCTGAAGCCAGTGAAGCAACTTATGAGTTAATTAGTATGTTTTAGCATAATTGAAAAAAAGGGGACTTTTAAATTGTCATTGGAGAATTCAGCTTTTGCTCTTAAGTTTGGAAGCCACTGAAATGAAAATATGTTCGAAGACTGAACGTAGCATTCAGTTTTCCAAAGATCATACTAGAATGCATAACAAAATGACAGAGAGTTACAAAAAATCCATTCTTGCCTCAAATTGAAAAAGCTCTTTCTTGTGTACTCAATTCTTAAAAAGAGCTCCATGAAAAAACAAGTTAGAAGCCCTTTGAAAACTGTTTCTCTTAAACCGAGCCATTTTCCTCTTAGATAGACTTTATTGTCATAAAACGACAGATCCCTGCTGAACAGGTTTTTGCTGCTTGGAGAACTTATTTTTTTGTAGAACCTAATTTTCCACATTGATCCCGAAATGATAAGTGATCAATTGTCATGTAAAACAGCATTTCACAGTGCTGAAGTGAAAGCTGTAAAGTAGAAAAGTCTATGGATTACCCTTCAGGTACCTGATCCACTGATTGACTGAATGTCCTACTATTAGAAAAAAAATAGATAAATATTCCATACTGTGATAGCTAAAAGCTGAAAAGATGTCCAACATTTTATGCTCCCCCTCAAGAAACATATCTCTCAAGACTTCATTGTTTATTGATGAACAATGCAGTCAAAAGCAGGAATAATAATCTCTGAGTTTGCACTTGGATGTGTAAGTCATTTGGGCATGTTAAAAAATGCCTGAGGTAAATAGCTGTAAAAACTCCAGTGACAGAAATTCAGGAGATAAAGCTCTCCCAGTCAAGAGACTAGTTAAGAGATGTGCATACACATGCATGAATCCTGATGGATAGCAATTACATTGATAAATCTGTAGAAAATTAACCAGTTATTTTGACTGGATTCCAGTTTACATTACTTCTGTTTGAACAGACTCTAGTCTAGATTTTATAGGATAAGACTGCCTGCCACAATCCTTTTATTGCTGAATGAAATTTAGCAGTTCAGTTTACTTGTAAGGCAAACAGGAATTGTTACCACACAAAAATATCTATGCTTAGCCCTCTGCAAAGCCTCTTCTGTCACCATTAACGAGATCAGTCCTGTCCACTTAAAACTAAGTAAGTAACTACTGAAAGAGCTACTGAATTCCTCTTAACATGCTCCTTTCTTCTCCACATTTTGTTGGCAGTCCCTGTAACTGCCTGTGCATTCTGAACTGTCTCTTAAGGAGACAGTTCCTTGCAATGGAACATTAATTCTCTCTGAAATGGCTGTGAGATATTTTGGTAAAGAAATGCTGTAAATTAGGTTGTAGCTCCTTTCATTGATGTAAATTATTAGTGAGTGTTTGAATATCCTCTGTTAATACCACAATGATGATGTTTTTCTTTGATTAATTTAAAGACATCTGGAATTTTGTTTTTTCTTAAGTTAAAGAGCTTGAAGTGTTGGGTAGGCTTTTCCTCTGAAATTGCTTTTCATTTTAAATGAATTTTTGCAATGAGTTATTGTCCAAAGTGTCAGAGAGAGAAGACTTTGTGCCTCATTAAAACAAGGTATCCTGTGCAGTTAGGATGAAGTAGTCACACTAGTTCCTCTATTCCTTGGGGCATTTGGCTTATTACAGACATTCATGTCAGCCCTTTTATTTCCTAACTAATGCAAAGTCTGTGATTTTCTTCCTAGTGTGAAGACACCTTACTACGCCTCTGGTGTCTTCATTGAGACCAGTGAGATTTACACCAAGATTTATGCCAAATTAGGCATGGTTCTGATGTGGAACCAGCAGGATGCCCTGATGGTATGTATGATCAAAGTATTTTTAATTGGGATTTCCTGGGTATCCTGGGATATTTCTCTATCTCAGTAGGAAAAAAAATAGGAAGGGGGAAAAAGGAAGAAAAAAAGATAATTATTTATGTTTTTCCTTTTTCTTTTCATTGTTTAGGTGGAGCTGGACAACAAATTTAATAACCATACCTGTGGTCTCTGTGGGGATTACAATGGAATTCAAATCTACAATGAATTCATCAAAGGAGGTTTGTCATCCCACCATCCTGACAGCTGTCACCGAAGATAGGCTGACAAGCCCTGTGCGTAGAAACATCACAGGAGAGGCAAATTTCACTTGAGAGGTTTCTGTGATTGCCCCAGACTAAACATGAAGTTCCAATGCTGCATTGCTGGTCTAAATTTATTCTATTCCAGATCAATCTTTTTGTTCTTTACTAGCCTTCTTTTCCTGTTTCCCCTTTAAGGGGAATTTTTGAGCACAGTTAGGCATCTTCCAGAGCAGGTGCCTGTGTCTAGCAGGCATATTTGATACCATAGTAACTGTTTCCCTTGATCAGTAGACTTCCAGGAATCAGGTGCTCCCTGTCAATTTTGGGGGCTCAGCAGATTCTCTTTCTATTTTTTTTTCTCATAGATGCAAGCTACAACTCAATTACATTTGGGAACATGCAGAAGATCAACAAACCCACGGCCAAATGTGAAGATCCAGATGAAACTCAGGCTCTTCCAAGCTGTAATGAGCACGTAAGTATTTCTTGTGGTGAACTTCATTTACATGGGGCACATGGAGACATCCTTGTGCAACAGGGAGTTAGTTGCAAGGAGCTGGGAGGACTATCCCTTCCAGGATAAATGGTTACTTTTTCCTAGCTGTTCAAAAAACAAGAGGTTTTTTTTGCAAGAAATGTCCAGAAGCTCAGATGCTTGCAAATCTCTTAAACATTATTCCTCTTCCTCCTCAGCGTGATGAGTGTCAGAAGTTGCTGACTTCCTCTGCGTTTTCTGATTGTCGGCTCCGTCTTAATTTGGAAATGTACATCCAAGCCTGCATGCAGGACAAGTGTGCCTGCAATGGCAAGACAGACTCCTTCTGCCTCTGCAGCACCATCTCTGAGTATTCCCGCCAGTGTTCGCACGCAGGCGGCCGCCCGGGAGAGTGGAGGACAGAAAGCTTCTGCCGTAAGCAGCGACACAAATTTTACAAAAATCCAAATGTTTCCTGCATGCAGCACCATGGAACTTAAATTCGTTATTTCTTTACAAAACTATTAGCATGTGTTATAAATTTCATACCTGTACTGCTAAAACTCCCTGTTTTCTTTTTCTATTACTTTTGCTATTAAGAAATATTTTTCAGCAAATTCTGTTCCCATTAAAAAAACCTGAGATCTGATGCTGCAGGAGATGGGAATAATTTGATATCTTTGAGACCAAAAGAAGTAAATATAAATACCAGGAAAAGCAGTTCAGAATTGGATGAACATGCTTTGCCATGTGGAGTCTGGCTTGAGACACCACTGACTTGAAGGGAATAGGGTGTATGATCTGTTGTTTCTCAGGAATGATGGACTTAGCACTCAAATAACTCCTGGTGTCATTCTTTCAGCCAAGAGCTGTCCTGCTACCATGGTCTATAGAGAAAGCAGCTCACCTTGCATGGATACTTGCTCACACTTGGACATCAGCAGCCTCTGTGAGGAGCACTACATGGATGGCTGTTTCTGCCCTGAAGGCAAGTGTTATTCTAGCTGTTGCATCTGGGACAAAAGAAAGTGGCCTATCTAAGGAAGTCATACTCAAATACTACATGTAGTCAAATTATATCTTAGAAATGAGTAGAGCTAGTCATTATTTCCCCCCTTAGAGGAATATACCTGTAAAATTTTCTAAGGAGGTAATAATTGATTAATTAATCAATTGTTTTATGGTTCAAACATATTAACACATTGGCAGGTAATAAACCTGCTTTTTAATTCTCAGCAAGCGGGTTTTTTCTATGTAGTAAATCATGCTTTTTAGGTTGAAGAATTCTGAGACAATGGACATCATTTGCCCAGAGAGTGGCAGTGAAGGACAATGAGTGAAATTCCCAGGCTTGCTGTCAACCTTGGGAAAGATTACAGTGATAGTCTTCACAGCCAAAAAGACTAAAAATCTAAACGTGTGACATTGTGAGGTTGTTCTTATACGCTTGTAATAACCTTTTTATATGTGTATAGTTATGTAAATGAGCAGACTTGGATTTTCAAAGCTGAATAAAAGTGCTTTCCATCTGTCTTATCTTACAAATAATAGAGACAGTATTCTTCACAGTTTAGATAAACTCAGCCTGTGTGGCCAATTAGAGTTTTCCCTCTGTGGAAATTGCTTATTTGAAAAAGAGCTGGAATAGTTAATGTTGTGTTTTATAGGAACTGTGTATGATGACATCAGTGAAAAAGGCTGCATCCCTGTTAGCCAGTGCCACTGCAAACTCGGTGGAAAGACGTATGCACCTGGAGAAACCATTTCCATGGAATGTGAAGAATGGTAAGGATCCTGGCTGTTGTACACCTTTCTTTGAATGATTGTAAATGGGTCTGCATTTTTCAAATTTCCACTTGGTCATAGGAGATGTCCTGAAAACACTCTGAACTTAATGTTTATGTTGCATGTCTATAGAACAAAATTTCTGAAAAGTTTTCTTGATTCTGTGGCATATGTCAGAGGGAAAATCTGAAGGAAATGGTCAAGGACACCATTTTAAAACACCTGAGGATAGTTTGCTGGTTGCCAGATATACTTTCAGTGCTCTCAGCTCCTGTAATAACTACAAGCATTTTTTGTATTATTTGTCTGTTTATAGCACCTGCAATTCAGCCAGATGGACCTGCAAAGATCTAGAATGTCCAGGCACATGCTCAGTGGAAGGAGGTTCCCATATTTCCACCTTTGATGGGAAGAAATACACCTTCCATGGAGACTGCTACTATGTGTTGGCCAAGGTACTGTGTACTGTGGGGCTGTTCTCTTATAGAGTAAAACTGTCTGTGGGCTGATGTGTATCAGCTGGGAGTTATTGTTCTATTCCACTTCCATAGGGTGAGGGAAGCAGAAATGCTGGAAGTTGTACTACAAAATTCAGGATTTAGCTGTAATAGCCCTAAGGGGAAGCTGAGGACTTATTGCAATGGGTGATTAACTCAGTGAGATAGAAGACTGCCTAGTTGTCATTATCCAGTGGAGCTCTTAGTATATAAGAAATCAAAAAGTCTCAGGATTAGAAGTTTTTGACCACTTCTGTAATAGTTATTTTTGAGTGTCAAAGGTAGGGAAAAGAGGTAGGCAGCTATTTCATTCATCCCTAAAATACCTGGTGTCCATTCTTCTAGAGAATGAGGAAAATCTTGTGGAGCTAGGAAGGTTACTGTAGCGGATAAATTTAGTCTTTGTTGTGGAAATCATCTCATGACATTTTTTATTTGAGTAATGGACATTTCTTTTCCTGTGATTGTAGGATACTGCAAATGACAGTTATGCTCTCCTGGCCGAGCTGGTTCCCTGTGGCTCCACAGACAAACAGACCTGCTTGAAGACTGTTGTGCTGTTAGCAGATAACAAAAAGAATGTAAGTGATGCACTGTGGATTTTGCTAGATATGTTGAAGATTAGCATATTTCCCTTAATATGGGTGAATACCTTTTTCTTCTGGAGTCAATATTGTGGATAGATAAGGAACCTCAGACAGGCAGACAAACAGCTCAGGTTTCTGCCTGAGAATTCAAAATAGACCTAAATTTAAGAAAAGATGGGACTCAAAACAACTGACATTTCCCCCTCTTCTTTACTCTGCTCTGTGTGATATGATTATTCTCACAGGACTCCAGGTGTCTGGAAGCAGAAGTACCATTCTTCTTTCCCTCAGAGAATTTTTCTTAATTCAGATATGATTTTATAGATCTAATTGAGTCTTTTTCAGAAGAATGCCTTTGTATGGTGGTACAATCCAACCTTCTGAAATATTCACTTTAATATTCTCTTTGTTTATAAGAATATACAGACTATCCCTATATATAATTTACATACATATACACATGATTTTCCTCACATATTTTTGGACTTCCATGTCCTTGCTAACATTACTAAGACATAAGAAAACCAAATAACAACCCAATAATTTAATGTTTCCATATGTATAGAGCAGCATTTTTGAGGAAGTTTAGTAAACTGCTTTCTTACCATGTCAGAATCATATTAACCATCATACAGAAGCTGTAGCACATGCTTTAATAAGGAATAAGAACTTGCTACAGATCCTGAAGACCTAATATTTTCTTCTACTTGCTGAAACCAAAGTGTCCAATATAAATGAGTTTTTCATTTCATTATTGCTACGAATTCTTGTAGGCAGATGTAAGAGAAACACTGAATAGCAAGATAAAACCTTACATGTACCCTATAGGGCTGCTGCCATGTTCAATTTTCAGACAGATTTTTCCTTTAAAAAATTTGGACTTCTAGACAGAGCCTAAATGTCTAAAATATTCTTCTTGTTAATTTTCCTTGTATTAGTTCTTTTTCCTAAGCCCTGGGAGCTCATTCATTCCATTTGCCATTACACAGGTGGTGGTTTTCAGATCAGATGGCAGTGTGCTCCTGAATGACATGACAGTGAATGTGCCTCATGTGTCAGGTAAGACAGCCTTACAGGTGTCACACACCTGACTTCTCTTCTACAGGTGTATTTTTATTGAGGCAAAAGTGGAAGAGAGGTATTTAGCACTTTCCAAACCTGGCTACATGGTGTGGGTATGCCCATTTGGTTCTGATCTCAGAGACCAGTCTTTATAAGTAATCAGCTTGTAAAGTTTGTGAGGACCAGCATCATATCTAGTTGGCCAGTGATTTTTAAAGGAAAAAAAATTAATTTGATCCTGGTCTCAGAGACCAGGGTGCTGGGTGATACATGAGAATCTATGTATATAGATTATATATAAGAATATATATATATATATATAAGAAATGTTTCTTTTGGCATCCTGTGTGTCTCTGTTTACTACAACAGTTCATGTTTTGTTTTTCAGCCAGCTTCTCAGTATTCAAGCCGTCTTCCAACTACTTTGTTGTACAAACTTCTTTTGGGCTTCAGATGCAAATCCAGCTGTTTCGACTCATGCAGCTGTTTGTGACTGTTGATCAATCAGTTAAAGGGAAAGTTCAAGGTAAGTGTCTCTGCAAATGGGAAGCAAAGCTATGCTGTTTCACAGCTGAATAGTCATGTATTCTTTATATGAGGAATAAGTCATGCTACTTGTTGATTCAAGGGGAGAAAACAAGGGGAGAAAGAAAATCAACTCAAGCGAACTAGAAATGTGTTTTTATTTTTTGATATTGAAATTACCTATCACTCTGGTGCCAGGACATAGGTGTTTATTCCTTACTTTTGTGTTAAGTTGAATTTTTAACTATTCACAACATCAGGTTTTTGGTGTATTTTGTGGTTTCAGTGTCATCAGAAGGCATAAAAAATATGGGTTAGGGTAGTAATCTCTTGAAGCACAGATATCTTCATGATTACTATTTTTGAAGATGTCGAAGATTTAAAACAGGGCTTCTAAAACTTCAGTATTTATAGTATGCATTAAATTGATGTGGAATAATCAGCTGTTTCTAATGTTTGTGATCAGTTGTCCCTTTTCTTTGACCTTTCAGTATGAGAATAAGTAATGCTTATGTGAAATTTTTACCTTGTTCTCAAAAAGGTCTTTGTGGAAACTTCAACGGAATGGAAGGTGATGACTTTAGAACAACCAGCGGGCTGATTGAGGCTACAGGATCTGCCTTTGCTAACACGTGGAAAGCTCAGTCCACCTGTGCAGACCAGGCAGAAAAGCTGGAAGACCCCTGCAGTCTCAGCATTGAAAGTGGTAAGCACATTAATGAATCCAATGGTGGACTCCTGCCAGGATGAGCAGTGTCTGCTGTGTGTTACTGCAACAGGAGTGTAAGAGTTGTAGTGAGGCATTGAAGATTTTTTTACAGGACTGTAAAATTATTAATGAATATCTGCAAGTATGTATACATACAAGCACTTCATCCAAGTGAAGTGAAAATTTAAGGGGTGATGGTAAAAGAATTGTAAGGTGGAAGAATGGGTAAAACAGTCATTAATTTGTATTATCTGCAAAGACAGCTTGTATCTCCTAGCATTATCTATCCTTATGTTTAACTTAGCTTTATTGTCCCCAAATGGAAAGAGCTGTCACAATTCCTGAGCACAAGTTGCAGGAGTACAGTGCAATTTTTGATCTTATCGTTGCATGTCTCTGAATCGAGGATTAGAAATACATATATGGTGATTGCATGCAGTTTCTCCACTCCCTAAAATGCACACAGTTCTCTCATTTGTATTTCTGCACTGCATTTATGTGTGAGCATAACTAGGCATGGCACAGGAAAGAGAAGGAAATGCGATGTATTTATCTTTTTTTTTTTTCAGCAAATTACGCTGAGCATTGGTGTTCTTTGCTGAGAAACCCAGAGGGTCCTTTTGCAAGGTGTCACTTAGCTGTCGATCCTTCAGACTACTATAAGGTATCGTAATTTTGCACTCTTTTAGCACTGCATTATTTCAGATGGTTAACTGTAATTTATCATTTTTTGAACATTTGAGACATCAGTGAGTAGCTTATCCATAAGAGATACTGAAATTTTTGCATTGACTGATTCAAGCAGCATAGCATCCAAAGTATCTCATGTGATGAGATCCTTATGGGCTGCTGCTAAATAAAATTGTACATTTTTTCTTTTGCTTGCTTATGTTTTGTGTTTTATGTACATTTTTATTTGCTTGGGTATTTGGACTGAAAAGAAGATTCAGGAGTTGCAGATGTGCACAGTTTAGGCCTACCCTTAAACATTAGTTTTTATAAAATGGGGGAAAAAATTCCAACCATATATTGATTGGAATGTAACGCCAAATCATTTTCATGCCAGATACTCCATGAATTCTTTTCCCCCATGCTCATCTCTGTTGAGCAGTAAGTGAGGCTTACCTGAGGAAAAGGAATTCCAAAATGATTGCTTGTACTTGGAAGTCAATGTAAGCTCAAATGTTGTAAAGGTCTTTATTGACCTGGTTAATATTTTGCCTTTATTATTCTTGTTTTTGTGGATCTTTGTATTTTTAATTAGTAACTGAGAACAAATGGTATCAGTATGCTTTGAAAAACGTGTTCTTAAGGAGGCTGACCACTTTTTAAAGGTTCAGGAGTCTTGGCTTAGGTTAGAATAATCATTCAATTATTTTCATTGTGTATGAAATGAAGCAGCACTTTAGCTCTCTAGTCTTTGTCTGTTCCTTCTTGTTGTCTGGTCATGGGAATTAATACAAACAACATCAGGAAAGGCACACAGGACATTTTGTAGCAGTCAAACTGCAATTGCCCATTGATTTCTTGGGGACTTATTGACCCTTTTGTTTTTTTTCAGAAATGCAAATATGACACCTGCCTCTGTGAAGACAATGAGGAATGTTTGTGTGCTGCCCTGTCCTCTTACTCAAGAGCCTGTGCTTTCAAAGGGATTATACTGGGAGACTGGAGAAAGAGTGTCTGCAGTAAGTAGTGGAACAGTAATCCCTGTAGATATAATTAACCATGATCTCAGCATATGCAGGTTCTCTCTGAATTTGGTTGTCAGGGATCTCACTGTTAAGGGATTTGGAGTATCTTAGAAATGTCTAATGGACCTAAAAGAGACAATGCTGATAATGTTTACTAATCCATGTTATATTCTTCAGATGTAATTTGAAATTTTTTTCTAGAAGTAGAAAGCAATATTTTAAACTTTCACCTTCTTTCCCCAGTCTAGCTAATACAATTTCATTTACTAATGGAATCCCAGCCATCAGGGCCTTTACCATGCATTTGTTTATCAATGTCTTTGTTTCTGATCATGCTTGCTTTTCATCAACAGTTCAGTATGTTAGAGACTAGGAGTTTATTATATTGTACTCTCTATCTGATTTTCAGTATGTGAAACAAATAGGGGTATGAAAGTAGAAACTATTAGTAGCAGTTAAAAATAAGTGTTCAACTGGTAAAGTTAGGTTAGTGTTACTTGTGACTTCTGATATTTTTTACTTTAGTAAGATCTAAGGGAATGTTTTTATCACTACATTTGGTGCAGCCAAAGAAACCAGAATGGAAATATCAAGGCCAAATTGTCCAACCTGCATCTCTCTTATATAATTTTGGTTTTTACCCCTCCAGGCAGTGAAGCATCTTCTTGCTCAGGAAATCAAGTCTTCCTTTACAATCTTACAATGTGCCAGCAAACCTGTCGTTCCCTTGCTGATGGTGAAAAGTATTGCTTGCAAGACTTTGCTCCTGTGGATGGCTGTGGCTGCCCATCCAATACATACTTGGATAACCAGGATAACTGTGTGCCCATCTCCCAGTGCCAGTGTTATTACAAGGGCTCATACCTGGAACCTGGGGAATATTTCACAAAAGATGGAGAACGCTGGTATGTTTTATTTTGCCTTCTTTTGTGTGGGTAAAAAGCCCTTTAAAGATTGCTTGTTAGGTGTAAGGTGCTTAGGTTTTTTTAGTGCTTCAATGAATAGTTCTAATGCATTTCACAACATTTTCATGCTGAGCAAAGCATTATCCTGTTGCAATGCAAGTTACCAATAATTGAGAAGTGCAGTTTGCTTTGGAGGTGTGAGTACTGGCCTTCACAGATAAATGTTATTCTGAAGCTGCAGTTTTAATAAGGCTTTGTTAAGCAAAACGGGGAAAGGAAGATAAAAGGCCAGCTGTGTGTTATGTTTGCTTTTCTAGCAGACACAGATTGCTTGTGTTTTCCACTGGAGGAAGGTCCCCTATTCTTGATATGTATTTACTGTAGCATAGGCTTTTGAAAGCAGCATTAATGATTCTGTTATATTTTGCCATGACCTCTGGCAATGGTTTGCTGCCTGAGTCATCAGTGCAAACTGTGAAATGCCTTCTTTCATCCAGCAGAAGAAGCATATAGGTCAACAAATTTGCAGCATGTAAATTGAATAGGCATGAAATCACACTGTGTATCCAAATGGAGGCTTTGATTTAAATTATCACTATTATCTGTGTCATTATTATCTAATTCCTGAGTTGTCATAAAACATAGTGCTAAAGATTAATAGAATAGCTGTCTTTCCTTAAAATATACCCTTTCTCTGCATTATGCCTAAAATCTTGCTACACTTTTCTCCAAAGAAAAAATTCATTAGTGTGATTCAATAGAATTGACCTTGAAATTTCCATTGAAATGATGCTGGACATCTTTAATAAATACTCCCAAATTTATATGAACAAACCCTTAGACTTAAATTGAAGATATTGAGCTTGCTTTTTTTTTTTTTAATTTCTACTTACATCACTTTTCTAGTGTTTGCCGAAATGCTAAGATCCAATGCACTTCAGTGAAATTAAGAATGAGAAGTAAGTGACGTTCTATAAACTAAACTAGAATAAAACCCATAACCAACCTCACAACCCAAACCTACTTTCTTTTTGAATTTTCCATGTACTTGTTTTGCATGTTTTTTTCTCTTTATGTAAAACAGTAACACGTTTTCCCTTTGGTCTCTCTTCACTGGGCCTATTTTTTTCATAAGGGTAGACTGAGATTTCTGTCTCAGAAACTGCCACCTTTCACTCACATTTCTTTTGCCTTTTCTTGATTGATCTAAACCAGCAATGTACCTTTCAGGTGAAGAAGAATGTTCTTCTAACAAGACGTACTTTGACTGCAGTGCAACCTCAACGTGGAGTTCACAAACACCTTTACAGCTTAGCTGTCATACTCCTCAAACTGATCATGTATGTATTCAACTTTTCTTTCTGTCTTGCTTTCTTTATTTTGTATTCTTTACGTGACATGGTGCTACACAGCAAATACAGTTATAACTAACAGTTTATTTCTCTTTGGTTTAATCAACTCTTTTTCCCCCCTATGATATTAATCTGTTGCCACTTTCATGATGATTCCAGTTATGGTTTCCTTCTCCTCTTTCTTTATACTGTGGCTTCAGTAGAGTCGTAACTTCCAGGTGAAAAAGAATTTTGGTTATTAGACAATCAAAAAAGTAAAGAAAGACATTAGAAACCTGCAAAAAAAAGAACCTTATAAAACTAATCAATATTGGACTGTGTGGTTATAAATTCATTTTTTTTTAAAGAGTGCTTGTGGATGAAGTGGAATTAAGATGCAGTGCTTTGTCATAAGGTAACCATTTTTCCTTATATTCCTTAGTTCCAGACAGAGTGTGTCTCAGGCTGTGTGTGTCCTTTGGGTCTATATGATGATGGCAGAGGGGGCTGTGTTGAGCAAGAAGATTGCCCGTGCATTCATAACAATGAGTTGTATTCTTCTGGAAAAAAGATCAAAGTGGACTGCAACACCTGGTGAGTTATAAGTGAATACGCTCTTCTAGAATATATTCTATGCAGTATATTCATATAATGTTTAGGCTTATGTACTACAGTAGCTGCAACAGCTGGAAGTATCATCCTTAATTTTCAGGAATACTTATTGCTAACTCAGAAAATACAGATTCTGCTGAAAGTATGGGGGTGGTAGTTACCTCTGTTTTCAGTAGGCATCTCTTGTTGGGAAAATTCACTCGTTTTTAAAAATTAAATGCTATCAGATCTAAAGATTGTAGCTCAACAGAGTAAAAATCATATTATAGGCTTAAAAACAGGCTAAACAATTGAAGTTGAGGCTTGGATATTTTGCACATTATCACATTATATCAGGCAGCTGCTTGGTTTGTTCTGCAGTTTTTCGAACCGCATACTATTGGTGAAATCTGAAAATTCAACTTCTCTGCTCTCTTCTAGCACCTGCCAGAAAGGGCATTGGGAATGCACTGATAACGTGTGCTATGGGACTTGTACAATATATGGAAGTGGCCATTATAACACTTTTGATGGGAAATTCTATGACTTTGATGGGAGCTGTGAATATGTGGCTGCTCAGGTAATGCTCATCAGGAGGGCTGAAAAGGAATTCCATTGCCTTGAAAATCTACTTTCCTCTGGTTTTGTCATTCCTTATTGTCTGCACCATTGTTCCCAAGGTGTTCACACATTCTGTCAGGATAAATTGTGTATTTTCAGTGCAGGCAAGCTGTGTGAATGTGGCTTTTTTTTTTTTCCAGATATATCATAAATTGCACATAACAGAACTCTGTTACAGTGAGAGCTAACTATCATTTGTGAAATAAATCCAAATTCTAAGCTTAGAAAATTGAAACTTATATTTAAAGATATATTCCTCACTTTGTTTTATTGCCTCACTCTTTTTTCCAGGCTAAGACTGTGTTAACTGTTTATATGTATGCATGGAAGTATGCATATATGGCTGTGCATTTGTAGAAATATGTGTATATAGGATCTCACATTTGAAGAAGCAGTAACTATTTATACATTGTGAAGATTTAAATGGTTGCAATTATTATGAGATTGAACTACAATGAAATATTCTACCTAATTTTCCCATGTTCTTTTCTTTCTCTTTTTCAATAGGACTTCTGTGGCGACAAAAATTCCAGTGGTTCATTCAGTATCATCACAGAGAATGTCCCTTGTGGAACTACAGGAGTCACCTGCTCAAAAGCTATCAAAATGTTCCTAGGGGTGAGTGGTGATAGTCAGTACATATCAGTAATCAAGCATGTAAAAATGTAATGCTCCAAAGTCATGCCCCTAAAAGCAGCTGTAACAAGCATTAGAGACCCAATCAAATCAAATTACTCTGTAAAGGTGTAGGTTCTCAGGTGATGAAAACCCTCTCAAATAGAAGTGCTGCACCATTCCCTGCCATCTTGGAAGTCATCCCAAAGTTTCAGCTATTGATTTCAGAATGAGTTGCATTGTTACAAGTGTCTAATGTTTTGCTCATCATAGAAGTTAGTGTACAATACTTCTCTTTTATCTTTCAGAAAACGGAACTGAAATTGGAGAACAAAGAGTACAAAGAAATTCAGCGAGATATTGGTGATGATGTGCAGTATTGGAACAGGACAGTCGGCCTGTACCTGGTTATTGAGGCTAGCAACGGAGTGATGTTGATCTGGGACAAGAAGACTACTGTTTTCATCAAGCTGAGCCCTGATTACAAAGTTAGTGCCTGTCTATCTTTTTCTGAAGTAGTACTGTGAATAGATAAGGGAACATAAATGTTCTTTTATTCTGACTCCGTGTCTAATTCCTGTATCCTCTGTGCACTGATTAGCTTGCATTATTACCATCACAGCTTGCAGAAGTGCTTCTGAGGTTTCTTACAGTCTATCACAGTGCATTGCACAGAATTCATAGGATGCTATCCTAATAAACATCTCAGGCAATACTCTTGAGTTTATGAGTATTGATAGCCAATCGTCCAGAATAATGGAGGGGATGTGGACTGGCTGCACATGTGCTTGGAAACCTACGTGCAGTCTCAGCCCTGTGTTAAAAACAAACTCCCTATGAAATGCAAGGCCGTGGTTCTGGTTCCTGAAATTCAGCATGCTGAATTGGAGAATATTGAGGCATTGTACAAACAGTGACATACTGTTTCTTGAGGAGACTGGTGGACTTTAAATAACACTACCAAAAATTCACCATTGAGGGCAGATTGATACATTTTCTTTGAAGAAAAATGAGTCCCTGTTATTTCTTTTTCATGAATGAAGAAATGGTGCCCATTACGTTAGAAACTTTTAATAAAAACAGCTTTGAGCAGAAATGAATTACCTCAGACTTATATTAATAGGTGAGTTATGATAAATTGAAAAGAATGGAGAATAAATAATTATTCTCAGCTGTAAGAGGCTTGGGCACTCTTTAATGTTTTAAATTGGATATGGAGACGGAGATATGGAAATACACCAGATAGAATTGATTTTGAGGAAGGAAGACATGGCAGCTGAGTAATTTGCTGAGGATGGACAAATGAAGATTTTCTGTACAAATGAGTTGTCAGTAAAGATGAAAGTCATCATTTACAGAGACAGTAATTTGTCGCTTTTTATGTCAATGTTTTGCTCTTACTTAACCAGAGCCTGTTTCTCACTTACATGGTATATTTAAAAACACAATTTTCTTTTCCAGGGCAAAGTGTGTGGTCTGTGTGGCAACTTTGATGACAAGGCAAACAATGACTTTACAACAAGGAGTGGACTGCAGGACTCTAATGCTCTGAATTTTGGAAATTCCTGGAAACAATCTCCCATGTGCCCAGATGTCACAGAAGAGATTAAGCCCTGTGATCTGAAACCACACCGGAAATCTTGGGCAGAGAAAGAATGCAGCATCATCCAGAGCGAAGTCTTCAAAATTTGTCACTCCAAGGTTTGTAGAAGACAGTAGGTGATGGGACAGCACAGTGCATTTCTGATAATGCAGAACCAAAAAGACCATCAAAAGAAATGAATGAAGAGATGGTTAAATAGTGACCTTCAATTAAGTCTTCAGTACAGATATAGGTGTCAGCACATTTCACGTGGCCTTAGTCAAAGTAGTCTGACTCTCTGTGGCAATGGAACTGTATCAGTGGTGGTGGTAGCCCAATACAATAGTCATCACCACAGTTCCACTGCTACTACTCTGCAAGTTAGCTTCAGAAATATATCCTGAACAAGTCTGTTTTTGCTGCAGTTGCACCATCTCTTGTTGAGAGACAATCAGTATTACAAGTATGAAGGGCCTTACAATCATCAGACCCATCTTCTGATGGAAATTCATACTAAACATGAAAGATGGCTGTTGAAGGGGCTTGTAGTATTCAATCCACAAAAGGATCTTCTTAGATACCACTGACATCACACTGACAGATGCTGGTACTGTGCCTCCAAATTGCCACAGCAAAATACTGTGACAGCCCACAGCTCCCAGAGTACAGTGCACAGAGCGCACTGCTCTTTATTTCTCATCTTTTTCCTGATGTATGGTAATAATTAACAGCAGTTTGTTCTTAACTCACAGTGGAAAAGTCACAAACAATTATGAATTGAATTAATTTATTGTATGTTTCCATGTGCTTTACTTCAGCAGCAAAAATCCAGTATAAGTTTCTTCTCTTTGCGATCTCAAACAAAAAAAAAATTCTTTTTTTAAGCATGTCGTTGGATAAACTCCCAAAACTGACAGGATAAAATTATATGCCTTATATTTGCTGTGAATGCAGCCTTTCTGACATTGTTCACCATTTGGTTGGCAAAGCTTGCTGAAAGATAAGACTTCATTGGCATCAATTCAACTTGGTTTTCAGAGCACTAAAATGGAACTCTATTAGAAAATGTGAGCACTGCCAAGGACTCTTACTTTGTTTTTTAAGTCATAGCAACTTATGAAGGAGGCGTATTATTTTAAGTCTGTTATTCTCCAAAATATATTGACCAGCTTCAAGCTTGTATATGTTTGTGATTTGGTAACTCTTAGACAAAATCTCATTCCTGGCCAGCTCAATTCCCATGTATCAAGAGCTCTCAAACATATTAGTTTGAAAACTTAGTTTGGAGGTGAACTGAGGCATCATTTCTTCCCCTGACAGGTGAACCCACGTCCTTTCTATGACGCTTGTGTTCATGATGCCTGCTCTTGTGACAGTGGTGGAGACTGCGAATGCTTCTGCTCTGCAGTTGCAGCATACGCCCAGGAGTGCATCAAGGCTGAGGCCTGTGTTTTCTGGAGAACTCCTGAAATCTGCCGTGAGTACCAGATAAACACAACTGTATCTTTCTTGCTGCTTCAGAAAGCCAGTCAAATAAATCATTAGTACTGTCACTGCAAGGTCATGCTGGCTACTTGGTGAAATCTTTTCTCAGCATATCAGGGAACAAACAGGGCTAGTAAATTAAAATGTTTCAACTGTCTTGTTCAGCCTGGCCCTCTCCTCTCCTCTCCTCTCCTCTCCTCTCCTCTCCTCTC